CACTTGGCCAGGCTTTGGTCGATTGAATCAAGATCCTTGTAGCCACTTATCGCCCACAGCTGGTGGTCCGATGAGTAATCGAGTTTTGAAATCACCGACAATTTTGTTTCTTCTCTTCTCTGTATGACGGGCAATTTCCAACGTTTTTAGTTAATTCGGCAAATTTTATATTGTCTGACCAATGACTGACTGACATCTCAGTGTCGCGAGTATTGCATGTCCTATCCGTCGTGGAAGTGTTTGGCAAACGGTGATTGGTTTAAGGAGACTCGGCTATCACTGCGTAGACTTACTTGTTGGATAACATGCGCTCCCTTTATTTTACCAACCCTACCTTACACCGTTAAAACTTGAAGAACAGAGTACCCCTGCTGACTGCCGAGTGGAGTCTGAACCCTCAAATAAAACAGAAGTTAACCCGAAACACACTTATTGGCCTTTAGGGTCCCATACGTTCTTAAATTTTCAAATCGTAGAGGTAAATTGGTTCATGGGTATCTTGCGCCTTGTTTATCTCATCGCTGTTATCAAATCGGTCATGGCGTCTCTGTCGTATGGATCCAGGAACTCCCTCAGCAGTCACATATATGGCCTTCTGTTGTTTGATCTCAACTTCGTCCCCGTATTCCCTCCAGATTATTGTTCATGTGGTCGCCGAAACCCAGTCAGGGCCTTGTGGTAGGCGTCTGCGAAGCTGCAGTTGCCACTCAGTCTTCGAGTCAAACGTGAAGTGAAACTTGTTATGTATGCAAACCAGAAGACCGGTTGCGGCTGTGGAATGCACTGGTCACAGATAATAGTGTGAAGCGTAGAATTTGTAGCTTAATTGTAGAGCATTGGCTTCCGGTTAAGGCCTTCCCTACTATGCGGGTTCAAATCCTGCCAAATGCCGCGAGTTTTTTTCACGATTGGGTCAACTAGAATAGTAAACTCGACAGGGTACAGGGCATGGGCAGTTTTGTAGATTTGAGAGCGACCAATCAGCACCTAGGAGTTCTGATCACACGCCCATGGCCTCGAACGTTCATTTGTCG